GGGCACTGGGCCACTCTGTGTTCCACAGGCTGAGACCCTGCCAGAGGCGATGTTTGCCAAGGACTGGCGCAGTGAAGCCATCCTGGGTGGCTGAGGCATACGAGCCCCTGGCTTTGAGCACCCCCTCGCCCCATCGTTGGGTGGGCAGCGGGACCCCGGGCTGTGGGTGATGCCCCTCGCCGGGCTGGATTCAGAGGGCGGCCAGGAGGGACCCAGCATCTCCCTGCCCAGCTCTGCCAGCCGCGGACAGGTAAGGGCCAGCCCAGCACAGCCTGGGCTTCTCCAAAAAACCCCTGGTTTCTGGGTTGAAACTTGTCATGCCCAAACTTTGCTTTTTACACTTGTTGCTCCTTGGCCAGGAATAACCGTGGGTGAGGAGGTGGGGTTGGGGGAACATCAACACCTCTCCAGCTCTACCAGTGGCACGAGCAGCCATCCCCATGACAGAGAATTGTAACGGGGCACCCGCTTCTCCCGAAACCCCGTCCCGTCCTGCCGCAGGAACCATTGAAACACTTCTACGGGTATTGTGAGCTAACTCTTTATTAAGGAACGTGGGTTACGTCTTGCTGATGCAGCGGCAGGGCACGGCCAAGCCGCCGCCCGCCCCCCGACGCCCTCCCCCCCCGGCTGCCGCTCCCCCGTACCCGACTTGGCAGGCTTGGTTTAGGCAGCACCAAGCTCTGCTCTCTTAAACTGGGACCAAAAGCCGTCGATTGTCCGGCATCTCTCCCAGTTTGTCAGTGTGCAAAGTGTTTTGTGGTATTTTAGGACTCTACTGTGTTTTGGGCAGCTACTTCTGCAGCAAGGTAGCAGGATTATTCCCTGGGGAAATAAATTATTTATTCCTTGCAGCTGCTGGAAGCCCTGGGTGTGAGCTTGGCCACACAAGCATCACCTGCGAGCTGGTCCCTCCCCTATAAATTGCTGGTTTTCTCCTGCCAGCTGGCCAGAAAGCTTTGCTGAGCCTGGCTCTGGGGGCATTCGGGGTCTCAAGCCAAGAGGGAAAGACTGGCTGCTATTAGGAAAGCCCTGAATGACTACAATATAAAATTAAAAGAAGGCATGAGCCCATTCACTCACTTTTTTTTGTGTAGTTGAAGCCGACAGCAGGGATGCTGCTGGCCCAAAAGAGAAAACTCTGGCCTGAAGGGCTGGAGAAAGGAGTCACTGGGAAAGCAAACAGCCCCGCAGGTCTTGGAAGCAGGTAAAACTAATACTTTTTACCCTTTTTTTTTGTTGCTTTTATGGATCTAGTAATTGGTTAAAGAAAAAAAAAAAAAAGTTGGGCAGCTTATTTACTTCTGTACTGGGTTAGCCTGCTCTCCAGGAACAAATCACTCGCCCCACGCCTGAGGAGCCCTGCAGGGAGGCAGAAAACAGCCTGCCTGCCCCGGAGGGCTGGGTGATGCCATGGGCCGGCCGCGGTACGGCTGGGGGCGTTTTCCCAATTTTTAGAAAAAAAATCACCGCGCTGCCTGTCAATTAACAAACACTTACGTGCTTTCCTCTCCACAGGAGCCTGGGCATTGCTGGATGGGCTGCGAGCACCCCCAAGGTGAGTGTTGGGGGCTGTTTTACTCCGTGCTGCTGGGTTTTAATACCTCGAGCGATTCACACCCTGCTTTCCCCATGGCAGTTAGCGGCGTTCCCACCCTGCCGCCGCACCTGCGACGCGTTGCTGCTGAATTGCTGCTGGACCAGCCGTGCAATCAGCGTGCCGAAGAGCTCGGGGGGGCTGTGGTTGGGAAGGGTGTCTGCCTGGCGGAGGTGTTTGCTTGGGGGTTTTTTGTCGCCTGTGCTTGTTGCGTTGCCTGCTCCGACCACCCTCTGCCTCAGGCTTCGCAAGCCGCCTGGCAGAAAGGTGCTGGAGGCGGCCGGAGGTTTGCTGGGCACCCTGATGGCCGGGTGACGACCGGCCCGGCAGGGGTGCTCTGAGCAGCAAGGAGGGGGGGGTTAAAAAAAACAGGGTCTTTGCTGCTGCTTTCAACTCTTTGGAAAGGGGTTAGAGAGCTGCCGAGATAAAAACGCAGGAGGCGAATCTGCCGTGTGCCCGTCGCGGTGCCGAGGGCAGGAGGAAGGAGACCCAGTAAACACAGTTAAAAGAAAAGATAAAAAAGAAACCCCGCTGCAGCGAAGGGCAGAAAAGGAAAGCGGTTTCTGCCTGGGCTGCGGAGGGCTGGGTGGGCAACCCTCGGGGCTGCCGTGCTGGCCCAGGCCGTGCTCCGCGGCGGCATCAGCCGAGGGCAGCCCAGGCTTCCTCAGAAGTTGACTGGTTTTAATAAAAAAATTGTTGTGTTTTGGGTTTGGTTTTTTGTGGGTTGTTGTTTTTTTTTTTTTATAAACAGCAATGGATGATTTTGGGGTTGGTTTCCCCCCGCCCCCACGAGGTCCCCATGTAAGCAGTGATGGCGGCGGAGGCCCTGCCGTCCCGGGGTGCATTTGCCTCGCGCGGTGCCGGCGCCTGCCGGGAGCCCTCGCCAGGTGCCGGGAGCCCTCGCCGGGTGCTGTGCAGGCTGCTGCCGGCCACGGTTTCGTTTTCCAAGGCCGGGAAAACAGGGGCTCGAGGGATTCCCTGATTTTATTTCTTCTCTGCTGGTGCGGAGCAGCGCACGGCTCCTCCGTCCGACAAGGTGGAAGCTGCCCCGGTGACCACGGCGAGGCGTGCGGAGAGGCAGGACGTTTCTGATCTGGCGTTTTGTGCCTGTTGAGGCTGCTCACGGTCCCAGGAGATACCCCAGGCTTTCTTCTTTTTTTTTTTTTTTGTTTTTTGTTTCTTTTTAGCTTTGCAGTCCCTGGTGGGGTTCAGCGGCCCCGTACCTGCCGTCAGGCAGACGGAAACCCCCCGGCCGGGGCGGCGGGGCTTGGACGGGTACGTTTGCAGGTGAGGGAACAGCAAACAGCGAAACACCCTTATGCCCTTTGGCTTCTCCTGCTGAGTGCCAGCAGGGCTTCAGGGTTTTTAAGCCCCTGGTAGGCAGGAGGATGGGACAGCGCAGCAGCAAGCGATGCCTACTCCCAAAAAAGCGTAAAGCAAACCCCTTGCCAGAAGTTTTGCACTCCGGGTGCGAAGGGGTGAGCGATGCAGGCTGCTCCGGAGAGAGCCCGGCCTTGGCTTTCCGCTGTCTCCAGCGTGCCCAGGCTTTCGGCATTAGGAAATACCCTTGGGGTATCGCAGTGTGTGCTTCTCCACCGGAAAGCTGCAACGATAGCTTCGCTGTTTTCTTTTCTTTTTTTCTTTTTTTCTTTTTTTTTTTTACATCTATCGGCACATTTCCTAGAAACAGGCACAGAGCAGAGGAGATGTTCTTGGCTTACTGAACTGTATTTCTCCAATTTTTCGTGGAAACCCAGAAGGTCGCTGTGATCGCGAGCCCTTACCACATGCAGCCCGCAGCTGGCGGACGCGAACGTGACGCTGGAAGGGAGAGAAAGCTCGGGCCGGTCACGAGCCCCTTGTGTCCGGCAGAGACTGACCCGCTTTGACGGGAGCGGTGGGGTAGAGCCCGGCCAGCACCGGGATGCGCAGCGGCGACCGTGGCGGCTGCCCAGAGCTGCTGCCTCCGGTGCCACCCCGAGCAAGAAGCTGACATGGCAACATCTGCATCCATAGGGATGTGCCGGGGTGGGGAGAGAATTTGCTGACAATGCCAAGTCTACCAATGAGCTGTGGATCTCTCACCCCAACAGAAGAGGATAAAACCCAACCGTTAATTATGTTGGAAAATAAATGCCAGAATCGCCGTGGTGGGTGGGTGGGTGGAACCGGTGTCTCCGTGCCTGTGGTTTTGCTGCTAGGATGCAGCAGGGGCCAGTCCCAGGTTGGTGACAACAGCCGTGGGCTACCGGGCTGTGAGAGCGTGTCCCACAGCGGGCTGCTGCCCCAGAGCCAGGCTGGTGCCCAGTAACACGTGCATTGCACAAAAAAAGCAAATTAGCCTTTCTTTCTAGTTCTGTCCCCAAAAAGAATAATGTCTTGCCACCCCATGCAGCCTCTATGGGGTGAGGCTCCGTCCCCCGAGGAGCTGCTGCTCCCCAGGGTTGGGAGCTGGGCAGGGCCGGACTCGGCGTTCGCTGCCTGTCCCCGTCGCAGGCAGCAAGTGCAGGCAGTAAACTGCAACAGCCAGCGGGCTGTTTTAATTTGCTGGTTTATCTTTGTACGGCACAGCTCTGTGCGCCGACGTATCATTATCTGCTTTCCTTGGTATATTTAGATCTCGTTCTCCTGCAAAAAACTACCAAATTTGGGCTCGGGGGATTTTCCCGTTGTTTTCCTGGCTGGATTTGCCATCCTCCTGCCTCCCAACCAGGGGCCGCTTTGCCCGCAGCACCCCCAAAACTCAGCCGGCGCTTGGCAGGGCTCAGCTGCGGGGGTCTCGTGCAGGGACGATGGGGTTTGGGGCACGGAGCGGGGAAGTTGGGGCTGCGGGGGTGCCTAGAGGCCCCATCTGAGGTGATGGGCCAGTGCCACCAGCTAGCCGAGTATCCAAATACACACAGAGAGCCACGCTGGGGGGCACTTGATGAGTGTTTTCGGTGGTGTTGCTTGATTTTTTAGACCATTAGCTCCCAGGACTGGAGCTGGGACCTCCTCCTCCTGCCTGCAGAGCCGGGGCTGTGCCCCTTTGCAGCCCTCCCCACCATCCCAGGGGTGCAGAAAGCTTTTCCAGCTGCAGCGAGGGTGCTTTTTTTACGTCTTTATTGCGGCCGCGGGAATCCATCGGCGGTGCTGCCAGCGGGTGGCAGGGAGCCGCGGGCTCGGTGGCACCTTCCTTTCCTGGTGCAAGGCAAAGCGGCCGTCTGCCGGGCGTCCTCCAGCCCTGTTCTCTCGCGCTCCCTTTTGCCGTCCCGCTTCCCTGCGTGCCCTGCAGAGCTCAGCCCCGGGTGCGTGGCCGTGACCCCTTTCCCCAGCCCCATAGCTCCCCCCTCCATCCACGCACGCCGGGGGAAGCCTTCCCCGATGCTGGCGTGCCGGACCCTGGCCGCTCACCTCTGGGCACCTAGCCCAGCAGGCAGGAACCCCCGTCGCACGCCTCTCCCAGCTCCGAGCTCACCTGCAAAAGGGGGAAAAGAGCCGAGGGGCAGCCCTGGGCGCGGGAGCTGGCCGCCGGCACGGTGCGGGGCGGCGGGGGGCCACGGCTTTACCTTGGCGGCGCAGTAGAGGGGGGGCGAGTTGGGGCCGCAGCAAGTGGAGGCGAAGTCGGCTCGCTGCTCCACCAGCTGCTCCAGCAGCTTGGGGCTGGCCTCCGTCATCGTCCGCATCAAGCTCTCCCGCAGCCTGCGGCGTGGGGACCGGCGGGTTTTAGTGGGCACCCGAGGGGGCGTTAAATACCCGTACGGCATTTTCAAGGGGGGAAGCATGCGTGGATGGCAGCGGGAACAGGGCTGGGCGCCCTGCAAGGGATGTGTTATATGCTTCCCTCTGTTTTGCTCCTATTTAGCCTCAAAACCACCGGCTCCATTCACGCACCCTCAAAATTTTGGCCAAATTTTGATCGCGTCCACTGATCCAGTTTTGGGAGGGAGAGGCAAAGGCTTACTTCTTACTGAAGTCAAGGAAATTTAACTCGGTGTACTGCCCGCAGAGCTGGTTGGCCTTTTCCAGGAAGGAGAGCAGCTCCTGGCTCATCTGCTGGCGCTGGGTGGCAGAGGATGGCTGTCACCAGGCTGGGGAAAGCCTCCGCGGGGGGCTGGGGGACGCAGGGCCAGGGCAGAGCCGGGCGAGCCCACGGAGCCGTCCCCGCCGCTCACCTTGCTGTCCAGGCAGGCGGAGGCATCCTTGGCTGAGCAGCATTCCCCCCTGACTTTTTCGCAGGCGTCGTATAGCTTGCCGAGGAAGGCATCGGGGACGCTGGTGTGCCTCCGCGCCAGCTCAAACAGGTACCTGGAGTGGGGAAAACCCGTCGCCGTATGAGTTTTTATTACCGGTGCTGCTCAGCGTGGGATGCGGGCTGCTTTTTGCATCTTTGTGCAGCTCCTGGGGCTGATAGCCCTGAGGGAAGAGAGGACGCTCCCCTGGTTATCCTAATAATAATCATACCGTATAATGAAAACAAGGGGAGAAGGAAGGGTCAGCCGCTCGTCCGCCGCGGGTACCGCTCACCTCTTGGCGTGGCGAGCCCCCTCCTCGCCGCACAGCTGCTTGTTCGTCGGCTTCTGCGCCTCCGGCAGCTTGGGGGTGGGCGCCGGGGGCAAAGCCCAGATGCAGAAATAGTTTTGCATGAGGTTGTTCCCCTGGCAGCAGTCGGCAAACCTTTCGTCTCCGCCCGACAGCGCGCCGCAGACTTTGGCCGTGTGCTCTGATAACTGGGAAGAGGGGAGCAGGGGGTGTGCGGGGCCGGTGAGGCTGCGGACCCCCTCGCCGTGATGGGGTTCGCTCCCTAAGCCCCTGCGGCGACTCGGGAGGTGGTTTTGGGGTGGGCTCCTGGCTCCCCTACCTTCTTCTGCATGCAGTCCTCGGTTACCGAGTCACAGCACTGGGAAAACACCTCGGCAGCATCTTCTGCCAGGGGGAAAAGGTCCTCGAAGGAAGCGCCGGGCGTCTTCTGAGCGAGCGAGGTGAGGTAGCTGGGCAGGCACAGGGCGCACGAGGGGCTCAGGGAGCTCGGCTTCCCCGTCCCCTGTTGACAGCTCCAAGCAGGGCTTTTGCCCCGTAGAGGTGCGGGAGGGAGATGACGGGGAGCCCCCGGGGCTCGCTCTGCGCCCCCGCTATGCACAGAGCGTTTCCACGGGATGCTACGGCACGCTTGGTTTTACATCTGAATTAAAATTTGTCTTTGTGAACGCTGCCTTGCAATAGGAACGCGCTCCCAGCCTGACCCGTGTTCAAGGAGAGAAAAGGCCATTTCTCCCCCTTACCTGAAGGTGACTTTGTCCTTCCCATACGCCGTGAGGCGGGAGCAAACCCGGTTTGACATCAGGGTGAGGAGGGAGATGGTTTTCCTTTCCAGTTTCTGCCACAAAAAGAAGACGGAGGTGTGCTCCGAGGGAAATGCAAGCCTTACACAGCCACCTCTCCTCTGACCATGGGCAGGCCGCTTGCCCGGCTCCCCGGGGAGCGAGGATGGGGACGAGCCCGGCGGTCCGAAGGGCCTCACCTCCTTCAGGAAGCAGGCGGTGGGCGTGGGGGAGATGCAGCAGGTGGAGACCATGGAGAGGAAGGTCCTGGTGGAGCCCAGGAGCACGGGCAGGGGCGCCTGGCCGTAGCTGCTGGCGTACTCGTGCAGAAACCTGCGGCAGAGGCGGGCTGAGGAGACCTGGCCCCCCAGGATTGGGTGCTCGGCTGCAGGAGATGTGGGGGTTTGGGGGCGTTAGGACTGCCCGGGGATGGGAGCCCTCTCCAGGTACCACCCCGTGCTGCCGGCTTATTGCATCGAGCCACCGAGCAGGCTGGCGGCCCCTCTCCAGCGCCTCGCACAGGCGATGGCACCCCTCACCTGGTAAAATCCTGTTCCTGGGGCCTGGGCAAATGCAGGACACCCCAATCTTTTACTCTGATGCTCTGGTAGCCCCACGGCCACCAAGAGCCGCAGCAGCGATGGCAGGGGGGCGAGACCGGGAGAGGTTTGCTTGGTGGGCACCCGGACGTCGGCCAGTGCCGGCACGCACTTGGGCTCAACCGGGTGTTATCGGCAAGACCGAGTGCTGTCCCCTTACCTGTCTGCAAAGTCCTTGGGGTCCTTCTTGAAGGCCTGGCAGAGCTCTTCGTTGGAGGGCTGGAGGTAGCGGGGCAGCTCCGGGGGTGGGTGCCGCAGGGCGGCCAGGCACAGCTTCTGCTCCAGCCCCTCCTGGGCGCAGCAGCTGGCCGTGCCGGGGTGGGCCGGGAAGGGCGAGTCCTCACCGCAGGATTTGGCCGACAGAGCTGAGGACTGCGGGAGGGAAAGGAGGTTACGTGCTGGGGGCCGTCCCATCCCGTCCCCCCTGCCAGCCGGTTTTGGGGTCCATCGCCCGGTTTCGGTCAGCCTCACCCCGGCATCGTAGCAGGAGGGGTCGGCACCTTCGGCGCAGCAGGTTTCAGCCAGGGAGACGATTTCGCGGACGAGGTGGCTCATCTCCTCGAAGGTGGCGTTGGAGAATTTCCTGCTGTTGGCAATGATGGTCCTGGGAGCAGGGAGCAAGGAGAGGGTGAGCTGGCGGCACGTTTCTCTCTCTTAAAAAAAAAAACCCACGTTGCAGCATCATTCTGCCAAAACGGGGTTTGACACCGTCAGCCGGGGAGGAGCAGCCGCGGCACCGCAAGAAATAGCAGCGTATTCCCTGGAAAAGAGCCGGGAAAGACCTGGAGCAGGTCTCAGGCTGGGAGCTGCCTTTTCCCGGGGATAACGCGCCAGCTCTGTTAGAATTCCTAATTATTTAGGCGCCGAATTGGTTTTGAGGAGTTCAACCACGAAGCAAACTTTTCTCCTGTTAAGAGCAATCGGAGTCCTCATTTGCAGGGAGTGAATAAATCTTCCCCTTTCTAAGATTATTTTTGTTTAATTTGTTTTGGTCTCGGCTTAGGTGCTGAGTGTCCTGGGAGGCAAACACGGCAGGAGGTACCTACAGGGTTCGGAAGTCCTCCTTCCCCAGGGTCTGGAACTCCTGGCAGACTTTGTCCCGGACATAAGCTTTACCTGTAAGTGCAGAAAAAGGAGGATTTGGGAGCAGGGTTTGTGCCTTGGCTCACTCGGGTGCAGTACCACCTCCTCTGCCCTCCTCGTTGGGTGGCAACAGAGCTCGTTGCCAGCAACCTGCCTCCTTGCAGGAAAAAAACACCAACCCAAAGCATCATGGCCCTGATTAATTGAGTCTCCTATGGAAAATAACTCAGGTCGTCTGCTTTTTGCCAGGGAAAATGATCGCTGGGGAACAGCCTGGTCCCGGTTGGCCCCCTATTTTGCTCTCGCTTTCCTCCTCGCTCCCCAGCAGCGGCGGCGGTGGGGGGATGAGGGGTGCTACGCCGCCACAAAACGCGGTCCAAAGGCTGCGGGGCTCTCGCTTTATTCACTTGCGGATTGTTATTTTTTCACACAGTGGCTTCTTTTCTCAGGTCAGACTCGGTGGCGGTCCCTGGGGAGACGCTGGCACGGTGCTGCAGGCCGGCAAAGGCCGCTGCTGTGCTGCCGGTCTCGGAGAAGCCCCTCCGGTACCCAGGCTGCTGCTCCGGCTCCGCCGCCAAAGGCAGAGGCAGGGGGAAAACCCCTCCCTGCAGCCGGGAGAGCTACAGGTAAATCATGACAAGCATTCGCCCCTTGTCCAAACGGACATTTCTGTGCGTTTGAAATGCCTGGTGTTGGTTTTTCTGGCAGGGTTTGGAGACCGTAAGGGCTGGGAGCGCTGGAGACGGGACCGTGGAGGTCAGGAGCAGCCGGCAGTGAAGACATCCCGGGCGACGCTGTCATCCCTGGAAATGGCTATCGATTTTTGCTACAAACCGCATTGGTTAGACTTTGGTACCGGCAGGGTAAATACTGATACCAGTATTTACTGGTATTACAGTGCGGAGCAGGGTCACCTCCCCAAAACGGAGGGGTTATGTGCCGTTACAGTGAAGGTCACATTGCTTCGGTGGGAAAGAAAGGGCAAGGGGGCTGTCGGTCCTGCTGCAAGCGCCAACTTGTTGCATTTCTTTTCATTTTCCTAAAGCGGTACGGGAGAAGTAAGTTTTGAGGGGGTTTTTTGGCAGGTGGCTGATTCCCTGCGGAGCTGTGAAGGCAGCAGGGGTGGCACAGAGCATCGTTTCCACCCCAGGGATGGGTTTTCCAGTGAAATGGTGCTTGTGAAGGGGGTCAGAAAACCTCATTTTCCCCCTGCAAAGGGAAGAAGCCGCGACCCTGTCCTCTCCTCCTCCCTCCGCCCCGACCCCAGCCCAGCCTCTTCCCCTCCCAGCTCCTCCAGCATCACCCCGCGTACCGAAACCTCATCCCACGCCTTCCCTTTCCTCTCTCTGATTCCCACCCAGCCATTTGGCAGTGGGCTGGGGAGAGGGGAGGCCACCAAAAACCGCCGGAGCTGACGGACCCCAGCCTCGTAGCCCTCCTCCCTGGGGCAGAGGAAAGCCCCAGGCCCCTGATAAATGCGCTTACCCCGGTGCTCGGCACGCACGGCGGCTAAAAGCAGCAGCAGAGCGAGAGCGGCCCTCATGTCGGGGCTGGTTTCCCTCCTCCTGCCGAAAAGCGGCGCTGGGAAACCCATCCCGGTGTTTATATGAAGGCAGTGCCAATTGCCGGGCGAATGATTAATCCCGGCGGCGGGGCAGAGGGTGAGCATCCTTGGCCTGCCTGCCATAGCCTGCCTGCCAGCGCCTCCAAAATCAGACCGATTTTAATCATTAACTCAGCCAGCCGGGGACGCGTTGCTGTGGGACCTCAGGCAGGGTCTTCCTGCTCGTGATGGCTGACACGTGCAACGTGAGCGAGAAGAGAGGTGCCGGGAGAAGCATCCCGCGCATCCCGCGAGTGCAAAGCCATACGGTCCTCCCAGCCCCGTGCAGGGAAGGAGGCACCACCGCTTTTGGGGTGCGAGCACACCAAACCCTCCCGGGGAGGTGATGAGGTGGGGACATCTGCTCCGCCAGGCGACGGTGGCCCGACGCCGTGCCCTGCTCCGCCGTGACCGCGTGCCGCCGGGTCAGGGTGACTCCCACCTGAAATGCCTGACGGCCGGGCGTCGCGCACGTGCCCCCCCGAAGGTTTGCTGCTTTCTGAGAGCGTGCGCTGCTTTTTGCCCTCCTCGGGCTGGCGGCGGAGCCCCCGGGAGCCGCGGCAGAAGGGGCGGCAGGTGCTGTACCTGGCGCTGGCGAGGTGCCATCGGGGAAAGAGGGAGCACGGAGCCAGCGGGGTCAGGAGCCGCTTATTTATTCAGCCTTAGGAAGGCAGGGAGGAGGTATCATGGCCCGAGGCTGCTGCAGAATAAATACCTAGCAAATACCTCCCCGGGGTAGCGGTGTTTGCTGAACGTCTGGCTCCTCTCGGGTGGCTCCACCTGGGCAGACAGACCGGTGCCACCCTGGGGCCTTTTAAGAGCCCGGTGGCAGCTACAGCAACCAAATCTTAACTCTCCCTTCTTCCAGGCGAGCGTACGGAGAGGTTGCGGCCGCTTGGGGCAAGCGGCGTTTGAGCTGGTTGCTGCTAGCCTTGGGCCACTCTCCAAAGCTCGCAGTGGTGGGCTTGTTTCTCGGGCCAGTCCTGCAGCAGCTGTGGTCCAGAGGTGGCTCTGGCTTAAAACAGAGGTGACCGGGACTGCGTGCACATCCAGCTGTGTGGGGAAGTGGGCTTTCTTGCTTTTACTGGGACTAAAGGTGCTTCTCCCCTGCGAGCAGCCCCAGCGAGGTGAGCGTGCCAGCTGAGATGCTCTTCTGTACAGGGACAATGGTTTTAGGCCTGGGGAATAATAAAAGCAGAAACAGGGGCATGGGGTGGATGCTGGGGAGGATTCAGGGCCATTAGCGATCAGAGGGTTTGATTACAGCGTCCTTGCAGAAGAAACCGGGGTAATGGGCTATTTGGGTACAAACACAGATATTTGCTCCCTTTTGTGAGTACCCTGTGTCAGTCAAGCTGTGATTTGCCAGCAGCTCGCTGTGGAATCGCCACCTCCTCGGCCTGTTTTGAACACAAACCTGGGCACGGGTTCAACCAGGTGGAAGAGAAGCGCTCGTAAAATCGCTGCCGACCAGGGGGCTGCTTAACAGCTCGTCAGGCGGGGGAGCGGGATGCGAAGGATGATGAAGACGGGCGGTGTGCCAGGCTGAAACCAGCCAGCCCTCGGCTGCCTCTGCCATCCCGCCGGGCCCGAATCCCGCGGGATCTGGGCTCTGCAAAGTGCCCCTCTGTAACCGGGGTGGGTGTGCGCTCTCCTGTGCTCGGGTGCTTCTGTAAGGTGTGGGTGTATGATGCCCAGCTACCAGAGATGTGCATGTGTGAGGTATGTATATAAGACACGCCACAGACAAGATTTCCCCTCTCTGCAGTCTCATCTTTTCGGCAGGCGAAGGTAATGAAGGATTAGAGAGGGGGAAATCCAAGCGAGACTGAGAAACACATCGGAAAATACCCGAGCACAGACAGAAACACAACCGAAAGGAGCAAAATGCTGTATCTTGGCCCGGAGGGTGGCCCTGCCTCCCGTCCCCGCTCAGCAGCAGCTCAGGTCGTGCCCACCCGCTCGCCCCAGGCAGCGACGAGGGCAGGGTTTTGGAGGTGGCTGTGGGCTGCCCTCCCGTCCCTTCGAACCCCTTGCACAACAGCCCTCGTCAGGCGTAATAATTAACGAGCCGCCGGGCTGGGTCCCCCGGCGCACACCCCGCGCTGCTGGTGCCGGCGCCAGTCCGTGCCTCCGGGTCTCCTTCCTCGAGAAACCATCCCATGAGCATGGGCAGCGTCGATCAACCCCACCCCGGGGTGTTAAACACCGGGGGGATCGGCAGCATCCAACGCTGCCGGGAAATGCCGGCTGCTATCCTGGGAAGCTCAACTCCGGAGAGTGCCTCGGCAAGTTGTACAGCGTCGAGTTAAATTCCTGCCCCTCCAGCTGCCGGCTTTGGGTCTCTGGCTTTGGGGGCTGCAGGGGTGCCGACAAGGACGTTGGCTGAGCCCGCGAGCGCCTGGGGGTCCCCCAGCTTCAGCAGCCCCAGTCCTGTCCCAGATTTCTGCTGGGAGCGTCGTAGAGCTCTGCGGGGTCTCCTTAGAGCTGAGCTTTCCATTTACCTCCCTGAAAAATGAAAATTCAACAAGTTATCCTCTTCGAGTGTCCAAAGTCAAACCTGGAAACAGGCAAAAAAAAAAAAAAAATCCAGCCAAAATGATCTCCTCACCGCTCCTGCGTGGGAGCGCATTGCTGAGAGGGAAGCAGGGATGGAGGGGTGGAAATCCAACTGCTGTGCCCCGGACCCCGAATCTGCCCAGCTGCCTCCACTCCCCTCGAGACCAGATGTTCCCCCTCGAGACCAGATGTTCCCCCTTTAGATCAGATCCTCTGGGGTGAAGGCAGAGAGGGTTAAAGGAGCAGCAAACGGGAGCGAGGTGCCCAAGCCCCCCCTGCCCCGCTGTGGCAGCCGGGCATCTCACCGCTGTTCATTCACCCCCAAAACCAGTTGGTCGCTTAGACTGGGCATACGGGGCTTTTTTTAAGGTGTGTTCTGCTTCCCTGCTGCTCTGCGGCCTTGGGAGAGCCCCCTCTTTTCCCCAGTATGGAGTTTTAATGGTGAAAATCTGGCCTGGGTGCAGGCAAATGGCTGCAGAGGGAAGGAGAGCTGGGACAAAGGGCTGTGAAACAGCCAATTCTTCAGCAGCGAGCTGGCACGGAGGCATGCATCTGTGTGCAACTGGGAGGCTTATGACCCACTGACTGGCTCCCAGTGCCCCGTGCCTATTGGGAACTGCAGCTTGGGACCGAATCCTGCAAACGCTGCCCTGCGGCAGCTGACCTGGATCTCGACACATGGCTGCCTGCTGCCCAGGAGAGGATTTTGGGGCGTTTCTGGGGCTGCAGGGGCTGCGTCCGGCTCCTCTCGGCCCCACGGACATCGGGGCGTCAGCAGCCGGGGCTGGGGGGCTTTTGCTGCTGACCCGGCACCGCGGCGGGCACCCGGGCAGACAGACGGCAGCCGTACGTATGGTCCTGGGCACCCACGGCTCTGTCACTGCGTTGATTTACGTTGCCCTCCTCCTTTTGTAGGGCGCTGCCGTTAGACAATAAACTACTGCAGCTGTTAAAACGCCTCCGCCTGTCCTTGGTGGCAAACCCCGGGGGTGCGGGGCTGTTCCCAGCACCCCGAGCCCTGCGCCGGTTCGTCCCCCATCCCGCCGTCGGTGGGAGAACGGCATCGGGGCGGGTCGTCGGGGCAAACCCCCTCGTGCTCCTCCCTTAGCCATGGATGGATGGATGGATGGATGGATGGATGGATGGCTGCCCCCTTGCATCACCACCCAGCGCTATGATGTCATCACACGTTACAACCAGCCACCTTCTGTATCTGTGGGGGCCGTGGCGGGGCTCCCCCAAGGCCAAGGACCGGCAGCAGCAGGCATGGCCGGGTACCAGCGCGGCCGCAGCCCCCGTCGGAGCCGCCGGCGGAGGGGATCCCACTCCAGCCGCCCTGGGCAGCCCGGCAGCAGGCGGCGGCAGCAGCCGCCCCATGGCCGGAGGAGGCGAGGCCGAGGTGGGGGTCAAGGCGGGGGGCCACCCGTGTCCCCAGAGGCCGCAGGGATGTCCTGGTGACGCTGGCGGTGGGGGTGGCGAGGCAGGAGGGAGTGGGGCAGGGGGCTCATGAGCGACTCCGTCCCCCCCCAGGTCGCCGATCTCCGATGCAGAGGATGAGGAGGACAACGGCACCATAACGCCAACGCCAGCATCCTCCCGTGCAGGGGTGTCCTGGCCGTCAGCTGCCGCCTGCCCCGGGAGGTGGCACGCCGTCCCCAGGAGCCAGAGCCGCCTGCCCCAGGACACCCCCACTTCGGCAGCCCAGCCTGCTAATAAACTCCTGACACCCCGCTCCTGTCTCGCCTGGGCACTCGCTGGGGGCCGGCGGCCCTGGGCTGCGGGCGCGGGGACGAGGGGCTGCGCCGGAGCTGGGGGCGAGGGGCCTGGGCTGAGCCCCCCAGCCCAGCTCCGGGGGAAACGGCCCCAGCGTCCCCCTCGGCCGGCGGGAGCCCAAAGGCCCCTCTGTCCCCAACAGCCCCCGTCTGCTCCGCGGCATTGGAGGAATTACCGTGGTTTTGGCAAGCCCAAGACCTGCCTTTCACCACGGCGTGCCCTGGGGCTGGGGGGACGCTGCTGCAGCAGGAGAAACCTCTTAAACAGGCCTTTAGCCCAGGGCACAGGAGAGGGAGAAAGGAAAAACCCAACAGCACACCTGCCGTGCCTGGGGCTCCTTTGCCTTTCCCCGGGACGAGCCGGGCGGCCTGGGAGGGGCTGCGCGCCCGGGAGCGGGGTGCTGAGCACCGAGCCCTCGCCCCTCGGGCCCCAAGCCGTGGGGAGCGGGACGCAGCGACGGCCGGGCCAGACCAGCTCCCACGGGACTCGGGCAAAGCTCGGGGCTTCGTCCCGTCACCCCGCGGCCACGGGGGCAGGAAGGGCCGGCGGGTTTCCCTGG